CAAGAAAGACTTGTACACAATATAAGGAAGACTTGCTTCTTAGCACTGATGTTGCGAATGGAATGCGCTCGCACACGACAAATTTGAAACTATCGCACGCATTTTTTACGAAATTATAACACGATATTTGTGTTTTTTAACTAAAATCATACGTTCATATGCAGTTCCTGTATTTTATTAAAACTTATTAAAACAGTTTCAAATATCATAGTTCAGAGAAAAAAAGTAGGGTAGTCCTATCACACGTGCAGTTACGCGACAAGAATTACCTTTAACCCCTTATCCAATAGAAAAATGAATCTCGTGTAGTTCTTGATCAGGAATTCGTTTTTTATGCCGTTCTATATTGCGATCTATGACTACTTGAAGAACATCAACGGGACGAACAGACGTTCCATTTGGCAATGTCACATCTTCATCGAATGTTTCTCCAAAACCAGCCTTCACTAACCTAATCCATGCTTGATGTTCACGTTCAGGTAACGATAATTTCCATGTAAACTCTTGTATACCCTTTTCCTTGAACGCGTTAGCAAATGGAACAGTTAGTGGTTCAGAATGCTCTGAATGAATAAAACTGGTTTTGCCAAAAGGTTCTGGTAGATCGATAGTTTCAAAACCACTTTGTGCTGGAACTTGTTGAAGTTTTCCATTCAGAAATTGCTGACTGAGATTACCATATTCAGCTAGCACCGTTGACAAATTATAAGGAGGAATCAGTATTGGATTTTCATCACCAATAAATTTTGCTGCCCAATATAAACTCATCTTATCGATCCTATCAAGACGATCAGCGACAACTCGACACAAGATATTAGATAACCCTGGATCCGCGCCTAGCCCGAAAATGGCTGTTATTCCAGCCTTTTCCCATTAATCATGCTCAGCCTTTTGTTGGACAGTGTAGATACCCATGCCTCCGTAATCCAAGTAATTCGTTCTGCTTCGAAGCACGCATGAAATATATCCATTTGAAGTCCTGCAAAAGTGGGCACAGCGTTAATATAGACGTCGCATTTAGCAAGTTGACAGGATGATTTGTCTATCGGTAACATCGATTACATTGGTTTCAATACGCGAATCGGTTAATGATTCACGGAGAATATCCAGACGTTCATTACTCGAATCGGCAATTATGAGTTTTTCAATTGAATGTGAGTAGGTCGCTAGTAAATCTCGAGCAGTGCCAGATGACATGCGTCCAGCACCCGCAAGAATCAAAATTCGTTTCAAATTGCCCATCGTGATCAAAGCACACGCACCTGATTCTAAAACATGAAGTTATATGAATTATAAGCTATGCTGTTATTTTAAGCAGTCTCTAGTTTAGAACATAAAAAAGGAAAAATGTTGGTTTTCCCCTTTTATATATTAATGGTTTCGGTGGGCGCTTAACTGAAGGTTCGACTTATTTGATGGGGAAATAAAATATGTTGATCGACAACAATAACTAGTTATTACGCCTTCGAAAATTACCCGTAAGAGTCAGCTTCGTCAAAAATGTATTGAAAAATATTATTTATTAATTTTACCGTTGTACTAGAAATAGTGGGAAAAAACAAGGGAAACTAGTCATTTTGATGGTAATATAATATTTTCATTGCCTAATGATTATCTTCCATCATTTACACAAAATTTCTATATTAGACATCTACGTATAAGATTATATCTTTTTTATGAAATCTGTATTTTATTTGAATATTTATTACAATTAGAATCCATACATATTGATTTACTTGATGGTTCAGATAGCACTTATCAATGTGAACGTATTGCAACGAAATCAATTACAAAAAAGCAGTAAGCAAAAAAGCAATAGAATTATCCAAATCGCAATACAACGTATGCCAATATCGTGTAAACACGATTTACTATCCGCTGATGAATTTCTATTTTAATTGGTTTTTTTTCATAGAAAAGTATTTTGCTATAGAGGATTTACTGTCCGTTGATTACATAAAAATGTATTCCAATTATCCACTTTCTTATATAGGCGATGCATAGGGCATTCCCAAAATAAATCTTGCTTCATTATTTAAAGCAGGCAATTCTGCATCGATTCATATCTAATAGAACATTTTAAAATACCACCATGATATACTTTCAAATCAAATATATTGGAGAAAAGCGTAGGTTTCATCATTTTCTTGCTTTCCTAATTTTTGATAAAAATCTTATAGATTTGGAGATACTTAATTTTTTCCTTATTTGCAAACGCGATTAAACCAACAAGCTTACTTGTTAGTGGGCCTATTACCGTTTCCATTATGGCAGGACGAAAGTCAATTAAAGCTTGTTTTACACTGACAATGAAAGCCTCACTCTTTCTCGAGTTTTACCAATCGTGAAAGCTTAAAATATGCTCTTTGAAAGTAGAAGGAAAGAGATGCTTCATTCTCTTTGAAGTGAAGGTTGATTCTCTTTCTTGAACGTCTGCCCGTAAGTAAGTCTTTGCATCCTCTAATTGTTATGATCTGACTTCTAAGCTAGTAATATATGATGGACAACCTCTCTTCTTATCATCATGTGATAATAGAATCATTAACTTTGTTTTTCGTTCTTCCTTTGGTTGTTATTCCTTTTTATTACTGATCAGCTGTTACCTGTTGCTATAAACTTTATTTGGTCAGGCTGAGAACAAAATCGAGGTATGTAGGCTCATTGCAATGTGCTTTTAAAAAGCGAGATATATATAGTTAAAGTTATAAAAAGGTAGAGAGAAGCGACTTCTCTAATCGCTAAGCTCGATGGGTACAAAGCGAAGATGGAACGGTATGCAGAACGAAATAAATGCTTAGAAAAAAGAAAAATGAAATCCTTATAAAACCGGTGAGAACAATACCGGCTCCTATAAAACCTTATTTCATCTAATACAAAAATCACACAATCAATCTGTTTGATAATAAAAGATTTTTAATCCACTTCACAATTTCTGTGCAGAGGTAAAGTGAAGCAAATAATTCTAAATAAAATTGAAATTGGCTTGCGGGGAATTTTTTATTTTTTTTCTCTTCGTAATATTAAGTATTTTCCAATTCAACATCCTTTTATTTAATATTATTCAAAACGAGAAGCGTGAATGTTTTTTGCATGTTCTTTTTTGAAAACGATTGAAAGAAACAAACGAAAATTATTGTTATAGTAATACATGTTGATAAAAGTGACTCACAATGCAAATGAATTTAAAAAACTTTTTCTTTTTTGCTTGATTTTGAATGCAAGAGATAAAGGGGTTCATGCCCAAACTCCGCAGACTTTCATCCACCCACCCATCCACCACCTTTGAAGATTTTTTCATCTGAATTTAAAATTAATTAAAAGTGTGCGGAGTTCGGGAAGTAACGGATAAAGGTGACAGACATTTTACAATTTAATATTTTCCGCTCGTAACGTTATCACACGGTTCGAGAATGGAACACAGACTGCCGGGCGCACAGTAACTGACATTACTGATTGTACGATAGTCATAGCAAGGTGTCGACGATGAACGACAACTATTGTTGTTGCTCGAGTTCACACTGCACGCTTGTACAGAACACTTTAATAATGGTTGCCATGCAGAGTGAGCTGAAGAGGAGAGTGTAAATTTGATAGTCAAATAATTTTCGAAGCAGAAGTAATTGGGTGCTTCTGTGGATTGACCTACAAAATGTTTAATTAATTATGAGAATAAGATAGAAAAGAGGAAAGAAGTAACAAACCTCGAGTACAAATCAGGAAGACACTGAAATACAAAACTGATAAGAGTCGCATATTGTTTGTTTGATTATCAATCGAAATAAGCATGTCAGACTGTGGTTTTTTCTATTCTCTTCCAAAAAAATGAACGACAGTCGGAATGTATTTTAAACAAGCTATATTTCAAATTATTTTCAGTAGAATGTTTGAGGTATTGATTTACCCGTTAACAGATTTATTTAGCTATCTTGTTCTTACACTTAATCTGATCGACATATCTCTCGATCAGGATAATTGCTAGACCGTATAATATATTCTAGCAGCAACACAATGGTAGTTTTTGCGAAAACGGATACAGGCTGTTTTCACCTTCTATTAAATACTTCAGTATTCACTCAATAAACATCAGAACTAGTTCAGACCTTCAGGATAAGATTAACAGTGCTATTCAGTATAGGCTGATGGCTTAAAGTCACTAATGATTCTTTAATTAGAAGACGATATTGATGGGTGTCTCTCACTAAGCTTTTAAAAGTCGTCCTTCTTTTCTGTGTTTCCAGCTTTTCTGCTGTGTTTTTTGAAAAAAATGTTTGTTTGATTATTAGTCGAAATAAGCATGTTAGACTGTGTTTTTTTCTGTTCTCTTCCAGAAAAATGAATGACGGACGGGAATGTATTTTAAACAAGCCATATTTCCGATCATTTATGACTTTGTTTTGTCCAGAGTGGTTTTGTCTTTGTTCCCTCTTAAAGGAAAATAAATCTTCACTTGACTGGATTTGAGTCTTGCTGGTTGACAGATTTCACTACTATATCGACCTTCCGAGCGTTATACAAAAATAAATAAAGCGACGGATTCTTATTGCAAGTATATGAGTCACCCAAAGATTTTCTTTTCCGTTAAGCGGGAACAAGAAAAATTACTATAGACAGAACAAAGTATTTTTTACATTTTGTAGAACCATAGAAGCACCCAATTACTTCTGTTCCAAAAATAATTTGACTATCAAATTTACACTCTCCTCTTCAGCTCTTCAGCAATGCATGGCAACCATTATCAATCTGTTCTGTACAAGTGTGCAGTGTGAGCTCGAGAAACAACCTAAACTCGCTAATGATTCTTTAATTAGAAGACGATATTGATGGGTTGCCTCTCAATAAGATTTTGAGAGTTGTCGCTTTTCTTCCGGTCAGGGGGCTTCCGGTGCCTCCTGACCGGAGAAAATAACTAATTTGTACAAAATTGTTCAAAAGTTTTATACACAGGGCTGAAAACATTTACCAAATTAGGGAATTCACTATATGACTTAACAATTATGCCTAGATCATCAAAAACTGTCGACTCGTTCTTTCGACCGAAAGATAGAATTTGTAAACTGATGTAATCAGACACAGTCTATAGTATTAAGCATAATGATTACGACAGTGCGTACATCGGAAAGACAATTAGGCAATCGTGCAGACCTTTGGTTGAATATAGTGCTCCAAAGAATCTCTCTGCATGTATAGGCATGCTGTGAGAAACAGACACAAATCTTTCTTGACATACTCATAAAAAAAAGAAAACCCTTTTTACACCATGCTCAAATGAAATGACTTTCACAGCTTTTCTCGGATGGTAAAGAAAAGGACAAATTATTTGAAACACCACATCCAGAAGTTTGCGACAGCAAAATACAGCAGTGTCCGAGTTCAATCCATTCCGGAAGTTGACTTTTCCCACGCGAACCTTACTCGCGCCGCGAGAACTCTCCCCTACAAATAAGCATAACATATTCATTTAAAATAAACTAAGTACAAATTCTCTCAATTCCTTGATATTTCTTCATGACACGAGAATTTTAGTTTAACAGGAGGTTGAAATTTGTTTCCCACGAGAATTTTACTTTAGTCCACAGGAATTAACATGTATTATGTGGCGACCGAGGACGATTAGCCGATGGTGACGGAGGAGCAAGGGGGAAATAACCTCCAATTTTGCTTCACCCACTTCCAAGTGTCTCTCATTTGAAGTGATACTTCATCACTTGAAGTGACACATACGAGGGAACCTTTCGAGATGTCCCCGTCCGATTTCAGGGATTTGGATAGGTTTTCACTAGGTTGTTGGAGGTTTACTGAAAAACAAATATTGCCACGAGAGTCAGCATGTTTGATTACCTACGTTTCCATTATTTTCGGAATTATCATACCTAAAGAAATACCTCGCACTCTCAGCCAATCCGATGCCATGCCTGAATCGGAAAAACTCAAGAGTTCGCTTAGCTCGCATTTTAAAGAAGACGCTTTACATTTCTACCTATGAAACTAATACTACGTTCGCTCTAACGTCAACTCATACTCTTAGAGTGTCATTTCGGCACTTCAAGTGACACTTCGGTCATACGTGCACATACTTGAAGCGGGATTTTTCCCCCTTGCGCAGGAGGATAACAATATTGTGATGTATACCGAGGTTGATAAGGCGCATCTGAGGATGAATAATTTCCGTGGCAGTTGATTAGGAAATTCCTGAAAACGTACTTGTTTATCTAATTGTTGTGAATCAACGAATAATGATGCAGATGTTTTAAGGATTGGTTGTCTAGTATAATCAGATTCGTTGGCATTAACCAATTGATTTAGAACTTCTTCTCAAGCATATTCTGAAATGCAGCGGACTCTAGCTTTCTACGTAAAACTTCTTTGATTAAAGATGTTTCTAAACCTTGTTGAAGATGATCTCGTTCAGATGTATCAGGCATTTGATCATCGACGGTTTTATATAGACGTATAATACCAGTATAATATGCAGTAACAGGTTCATGTAATCCCTATTTACAATTACGAAGCTTTAGTGAAGCAATCTGTTTAGCAGCTGGTGAATTATATGCGGTTCGAAGATGTTGAACAAATTCATCCTCAGATACGTTGACGATTTTAAACGAATCAATTTTTTATAGGTTTTGTATGAAATCCTCATGTATTAACTATACGCATATGTTTCAAATGGTCACCGATTGACATAACTTGCAGTGTAGTATCGAGATCATGGAATGAGACTAGTCACCATGCGTTACTCAGAGAGAGATTATATCACAGAACGGAAAAGCTATCTATGTTTTCGTTGACGGCGAGTACGTAAGTGTTCGGTAACGGTAGCTGACCATACCCCATATTAAAGCTTTACAAAGTTTTAATAGTTTATCATACTATGCACGAAAAGTACAAAAACGTTTGCAGTCTAAAAAATTTGCTTTGTAGCATACAAATTAACATTTTTCGCACATTAGTAATTTACAGGTCACACAAAACAAATATAGATATTGAACACTTAAATGTTTCCTCTAGGATGGTCAAACACTGGTAGCATGAATACTGGGCGAGCTTACCACACAGCATGCGTATTAACAAATGGAAAAGTGTTAGTTACAGGTGGATATGATAATGCTGGTAATACAAATAGTTCGGAATTGTATGATCCATCAACAGGAACTTGGACAAATACTGGTAGCATGAATGATGCACGAACTTACCACACAGCATCCGTATTAACAAATGGAAAAGTGTTAGTTACAGGTGGATATGATAATGGTANCATGAATACTGGGCGAGCTTACCACACAGCATGCGTATTAACAAATGGAAAAGTGTTAGTTACAGGTGGATATGATAATGCTGGTAATACAAATAGTTCGGAATTGTATGATCCATCAACAGGAACTTGGACAAATACTGGTAGCATGAATGATGCACGAACTTACCACACAGCATCCGTATTAACAAATGGAAAAGTGTTAGTTACAGGTGGATATGATAATGGTATTCCTATAATTAGTTCTGAATTGTATGATCCATCAACAGGAACTTGGACAAATACTGGTAGCATGAATACTGGGCGAGCTTACCACACAGCATCCGTATTAACAAATGGAAAAGTGTTAGTTACAGGTGGATATGATAATGGTATTTATGCAACTAGTGCAGAACTATATTAATCAACATAAATTAATTAACGATAAATGATTTTTGCTCTTTTATCCAAATAGTCCCATCTTAGAGTACTGTTTTAAGAAGATGATTGTCCTATTCTTATTACGATGGACTGTTTCTGTTTAATTATTTGTTGAATTGTCTTACTTAGTTTATAATAATAACATTTTCGTCTCGGCGTTCTTTAATTCATTATTTTCTGTAAGTTACCGACAGTCTATACGTTGTCTTTTATTTTAAGAAATCGATAAGGTTTTTTCCTCTCGAAAATATCGTTTATACACAATCGATATAGGTCTATCAAACGTACGACTCTGATTTTGTTTATTTTTTTGAAACTTTTTATTATCGTGTTTTTTTTCTCAAACGATACAATGGCCATGCAATTCACTCATATATATATATGAGTGAGTTGCATTAGCATTGTACCGTTTCGAAAAAAAAACAATTTGCAAATAAAAAAACTTCTGAATTATATATTAGATAGTACTACTTTCGAGGTTTATGGAAAAAAAATTCCTAGCACTTGGTCGTATATTGGCTGAGAAATTTGACTTTTTGCAAGAGCTATACAGTCCAGAGTTGGAACCGATCGAATTTTTCCTAACCGGACCGGCCCGGCAGGTTTAATGCGTAGTTCAACCGGTAATAAATCGGCCGGTTCAGTTTTGGAGTTCAACCAGTAAAAAACCGGTCGATTCCATAGCAGATTAAAGTCCGGATTTTGTAAAAACCGATTTTTGCAGAAAGCTAAACTTGTGTATTTTCAAAATCTTCCTGTATTGGTTATTTCAGTATTAACGTGAGGTATTGAGCACGAAGTTCAGCCCAATACGAAACGAAGAAAAATTCGCGGACTAATTTCTGATGGTGTATGAAGCTCAGTAGGAAAAACAATATAGATTAATCACGTTTTAATGGAGAAAAAAAACTTTTTTTTCGGGCTAATATTTCATGAAGAAGGAAATATTTTCAAAATGTGAAAGAAAATAATGGGAGAAAATTTTAACCTGTGTTCATCTATATACGAAATTCACCAGTGATAGGACAAATGTAAAATGAATTAATAGATCATTTTTAGATCTGCTGCCTTTTTTCAACTTCCCTTGGGCGATTTCAGTTGACACCTGGAACTTTTGTTATACAGTAGTCATCTTTCGCTTGTGATTCGAAACCAACAGCAACCGGTCGGTTGAAGTGTAGTTAAACTGGTAAAAAAACCGGTGTTAACCAGCCGGTTGAAAAGTTCAATCGGACCGGACCGGTAACCGGTCAAGCGGTCACTCCGGCACCGGTTTCTGGTTCCAACTCTGATACAATCTCTGAGTATTGTCAGTAAATGGACTTAGAAGAATGGACTAGGATGTTTTTTGAATAACATTTGAGAGAAAGTAGCTAGAGAGCTTCGACCTTCGCCATACGAAAGAAGAGACTTGCTGACACGTTTTCACAAGCATAAACTTTCCCGGGAGTGTTTTCCGAAACAGGTTTTCTAGGAGATCTTTGGAAAACCAGGCCGTGTATAAAAAATTTTCAATAGGATTGTATTGATTTTCTTTCATGCATGTGGGATGGAAACCGTCTTGAAGTCTCGCAGGGCAAAATTTTGAACACTGTCTATAATATCAGTTTTTCCTCGAGCTTTTATGAAAAATTTAATTTTACTTAAAATCAAAGTACATAAATTGAAGGCCCTATTTTCGGCCTACAAATTCCATCAAAGTATAATGCAGTAGCCTTTAAATAGGATGGAGAAAAACCTCCGTTTCTTGCGAGAGGCGGCACCAAAATCACTTTTGGCCTTATTTCGTTCATATCTCGACAACCAAATGAGATAGAGACTTTTTTTTCAGTACTGACTAACCACCTTTAAATAAGCAAATCAAAAAATAAAATATTAAATTTTGTTTCGTAGAAGGACTTTTGTAAGCAAAACAATTGGTGAATAGCGACGGTACAATACCAATGCAACTCACTCATATATATATATATCAATACGCAGAGAAACAGAGATAAAGAATCTAGGGTCGGAAGACATTGTACAGTTATCTGATATAGATAAATAATTTCGAAAGAGAGAGATAACATAGAAGTATTTCATTTTAGTTTTCTATTTATCTTTTGTCATCAAACATGTTAAACGAAAACAAAGAGACTGAGAAGAGAAATCAAATAAGATCACTATAGTGACAAAGCGAATAGACTTTATCCTCCTTCTACATCGGGAACAAGTTTTCTAATAACCATTAGGAAATACATATAAAGGAGCGAGGGAACAGTGCTATTCAGTATAGGCTGATGGCTTAAAGTCACTAATGATTCTTTAATTAGAAGACGATATTGATGGGTGTCTCTCACTAAGCTTTTAAAAGTCGTCCTTCTTTTCTGTGTTTCCAGCTTTTCTGCTGTGTTTTTTGAAAAAAATGTTTGTTTGATTATTAGTCGAAATAAGCATGTTAGACTGTGTTTTTTTCTGTTCTCTTCCAGAAAAATGAATGACGGACGGGAATGTATTTTAAACAAGCCATATTTCCGATCATATATGACTGGGCCAGCTTGCTTGGCCAAAGCCTCAAGTTTCTGGGTTCGACTCGTTTCCGATCGATATCCTTGCGATCCACCTCAGCTTGGAGAACAGGATCGAGGAGAGCCGCCGGGTTCTTTGGCTGCTTGCCAATCAGGTGTGCTTGTGTTTCATGCCACATTCCACCCTTTAGCCATTCGACTTGTTTTGTGTCGGACATGTCTTCGTCGTATAGCTTCATGAATTTCATCTTATCCTCGTAGTAGAGGATGAAACTCTCTGTTTCGCCCTGTTTGCGCTGGGCCATGTGTTGAGCAGAGTTGGCCACTCATGGATGAAACCGTTTGAGGAACGCCTGTTGAAAACTAGACCACTCGAGGTCGATTGCTTGCCACAGGTACCAACGGCCGGCTGTATCGTTGAGATGTGGCAGGATTTCGTTGGGGGTTTTTTACAAGGTCGATGTTGGCGAGTTTGAACATTCGTTCCAGAAGGAGAAGCCATTCTTTGGGATCTTGTGAACCATCACTAGAAAATTTTGGCATACCTTTCATTCGATCGGTCGTCATGGCTGGTGGTTGTGGGGGTCTTTCTTTGCGTTCTTGAGCGCTATTCTCCTAGCACGATCGTCGTCTTGTGCTTGCTTTTGAGCCGGTGTGAATTTTGCGTAGGGATCCGTTGCTTATCGTGATATTGAATTGACGACAAGCCTGCTAGTGCACCAATTGGGAGGATATGGATCTAGTGGCCAACTCTAATCGTAGAAGTGAAGCTATAGTGAGAATCAACTCTCATCAAGCAAATGAACGGCTATGTATAGTACAAAGTTAAACAAGAGTTTTAGAAGAGTTGCTCATGAGTTACATAAGAACAGAAACAGTTAGGAACATCACAGAATGACACAAATGTTGCGCAAGAACAGAAAGAGTTGGGAAAATACACTGCGGAAGGAAACAAAAACGAAACAATGAAACAAGATTTGCGCAAGAGTGGTACAAGAGCAGAATGGAGAGATAATGAACCTTATGAGCCGCCGGGAAGGCAGATCATAACATTAACTGTATGCACATCTTTAAAATCAACGAAATTTACAGTGCACTTGTATTTCTCTTTTTATATCACACGTCTCTCTATCTATAATGTTGTGATTCTATATTTCGAATTTCTTAATGATTCCTGGAAAGTTTGGTTGCATTTGCTCGTAAGGTGTCCAAATGCATAAAGAACAAACATACAAACAAACTTTCATCTTTATATATATAGACTAGCGGAAGTACCCGATGTCGGTCTAGATAATTTGATAGTACATGTTTGACGTATGAGAAGACGACGTCGCTATGGTCTTCGATGGATTACCGATCGGGGATATCGCATAATACGCTTGGACCTTTACCGTCTCAACTTTTAGTATTTGATATTTTGAGATTTTCATAAATATCTTTTTTCTTTTCAATTTTGTTTATAAAACTACTTTTATTCTCTACGGTCCATTTGCCTCGAAATCTGACTGGTTGACCGACAACCAATACGAATTCAGCTACCTTGAAACCAGCTGATCAAACTTGCGTTTTCGGGAAAAAAATACAATTGATTTATCAAAATACATTACTACAAACACACTTGCACTTATTTATCAATTTAAACCGGGGCTATCAATTGGTGCGTTAGCCAGCTTACTGTCAATCCCACATCACAGTAAGTAGAACAACAACATTAAAAAGAACGAAATCCTCCCATACTGTAGCTGAATTACGAACATTTTGTATTAAAAAATAGACAGAAGTGGAATCTGTCAATCCAATTGCTTTAGTTTAAATAAATTTCAATTTCAAAACACATTGACTGCAAAAAATAAAAATATTGCAAGATCCTACCGTGCAAGTGTTCGTTTCGTTTTAGTGTGACGATCGAAGACTAAGTTTGCTATGACGGCAAAAGACAATTGCATTTTAAACAGTTCAATTCTGCACGGACAAGTGTTGTGTTTGTACCTGCCATTGAAGGCTCCGATTTCACGCAATCTCGGCAATCAATAGTTTTAAGAAACATATCCTTTAAACATGAGTTGTCTTTCTCGTTTTCCAGATCATTTCTATCCAACATTGAAAGCATCAATATATGAAACAGTAATCAAAGATTCATCTGCTTGCGGTTTTAACTAAGCTAGGTTCAAGTGAATTATTAACAACAAATAAAGTTGATATACATGTTGTTGATGAGACATACAGTAGTTCATAATTATGATATAAATCATGGAATATCACATCAGCAACCACTGAACTTTTCTCGCTTTCATCGCTTCAATATCGATCTCTATAGAGCAGGAAAAAGATCCAACAGAAAGAAAAATTTCAACTCAAACAGAACGAGAGAAAAGCGACATTTTTTAAGGTAACAATGAACTATACCGTTGAACAACAGTGAAGATCTAAGTAGAGCTCCTAAGACACCAAAATTGCATGCATCAGTTTCTTTCTTCTG